GGTTTGATCGCTTCTTTTTGAAGCAAACGCCGGAATTCTAAAGTGAGAGACTTGAGAAGCTGCCCGGAATAAGTGTACGCCTCCTATATGGTGATGGTGGTAACCTTGCTGATTGAATATCTCATTCAACAAAAAAAAGATGCAATTAAAAATTTTGGACCAAGTGTTGCAGGATTTTCTGGACCGCCTCATACAAAAATGAAGGAAACAAAAGGTTTCCGAACTTTTGACGCGCGGTTCCCTTGCAAAAATCGATTTTCTCAATTACGATTTTCGATTTCGGAGAAACTGTAATGCCCTTCGTGTTCTACACCTGGTTCTGTATGTGCTATGTAATTTGAGGCAATTTCATTGATTACTGACTGCGCTAGATCAAAAATAAAAAGTTTTCAAACTTTTGACCGCCACTGTATGTACGACAGAGCCGGTCCGACGATTCCTATCAAGTGCAGCTCCATCATATCATTTCGGGTGACATCCCCATTCAGACGGAGAGATATATGTAGACTACACATCACCATCGAACACGCTTTTGTTACCACACAGCGGCTTGGTGGGCGTAGATACCGCGAGCGCCGCGTATAAACTCCACTTGGGCCGCTAGCCGCTAGGTACCCTCCCTCTGCAGCAAAACGCGCCTCGTCTCGCTCTCTCACTGTAAGAAACGTACCTACACTTATAGTATATATATAGTTTCACTTGTTCGACCCCCACATTATAGTAGAACTATTCAACCTCATTCCCAAGGTTTACCTACTTTTCAGAACATTGGCAGGTCACCTATCGAGTAACCTGCCGCTTGGTTAATATAGGACGTAAAGCCTCACATTCAAGAATGTGCTTTCACTCTGGTGTGAGCAAAGGGTAGCACAAAAAAGCTAAAGACAAAAGACATCACTGCTCGATTTTGACAACCAAGGTGCTTCACTCACCTCATTACAATCGCAGATCTTCCTCTCACTACATGCACCCTTCAGTCCTCCACAGTCGTCATCAGTTTTACAGCTGTAATGGAATCCATCAAATCACCTCTTTCTGTATGAACCATTCAAACCTGTAGAAATTCCTGCATCCCTGACAGCTGCATCTGCTGACGAAAGTCCCGAGGCATGTTCCACCAGGGCAGTCCTTATTCGAGTGGCATAAATCGAATATTTTGCAGCTGCTCGGTTGCTAAAACAGGAAGTGACACTGCTATATCATTTGATCTGTCCAACAATCGTGCTTATCCAGAGCACATTAGTCAATATCTTTATGCTTCAAAGCTTTACTTTTACTGTGGTAGCTCCAGTACTGATAATTTCTGTAACCGCACTTGCTTCGGTCGAAGACCCTTCGAGCTCTGCTTTCAGAGCCGCAATAGCCTCATCAACGCTAGATGCTGTGGCGAAATCGAGATCTGAAGAAATCAGTGTAAAACCGTAAAAAATGAAAATAAAAGAACAGACTAATGAATCTCCCATACTGGTGTATCCTCACATATGCCGCTTCTTGAAGGCTGCTAGATAGAGTAACATGAAGCCAGTGTGAGTTATCGAAATTACGCATAAAATGTAGAATTCGTGCAAAAGCTGAAGGTCATTTTTAAATGCTTGATTTGGAATTCGTTCAAAAGCTGAAGGTCATTTTTAAATGCTTGATTTGCTTCCATGAATACTAGTTCGTAAATGCAAGGAGAGAGGGAAAATATTGTACTGGCACGTGACTCCCATGCACATGGCTTGAGGATCAAATCCTAGTCAGTGCACCATCCAAGCCGTTGGAATCCTTTCATCTCTCTGCGATTGTACAATTGGTACCCGACCCGTCTTAAAGAACAAAAACACTGACTTGTACATTGAATGACCCTTACCCGTGAAATGCGTGTCTCAACAAGGAATTGGTCAACGACGGATGCACAAATCGTTCATCAAGTCGTTTCCAGCAAGTGATTGCTATAGTGGGTGCGCAATGGGGATGTAAATGTGCTGCTGGAAACGGCGGTGGTAGTGGCATAACCTGGAAGGGATGCAAACGCTCCCAATGGAGGACTTCTATCCGCAGAAGAAGAAACACTTGCACCACCCCCGTATCTTTGTTCGTCGAGCCTACTTCGAGGGACACGTTGGTGGTCATTCCTAGTTCATAGCTTTTGTAAGGAAGTCCGATCATCGAGCCGGCAGTCATCCTGGTGTTCGTAGTTCCCAAAGAGTTCCAAATAAAGTGCTTCGGGTTGTTTTTGTTCGTTAACTGCTATTTTTGGCCGCAGTTCGCCTTGCATTCTGTGACTCCTTATTCGGGTCGTCCTAGTCTAGTAATGGTGAATAGGCAACGAAAATTGTCAGAGCAGTAAATGAACCGTTTCGCAATCTCGAAGTTCGATTTGGTTCGTTCGTTATGCTTTCGTACACTGATGCACATGGTCAGGAGCGCGTTGTAGAAGACATTTAATAGGTTGTCTCATAAGTAGTGTCGCTTTTTTCAACCAAAAAATTTTCATCTAAATCCCATGCTTTTACATCATGTTATATACCATTCGAAAGAGAATTGTCTGCTCTACAAAATGCTATGTTCTTCTTCCACCTCTGTTCCAGGGTTTTCAAATTTTAGGCCTGCGAAATGGGAGGTCCGCCGACAAAAATTGACCAAACCGACAACTAGCTCTAACTTTAGTTCCCTGTTCTGTAAACGCCATTGTTTCATATCGAGTGGTGAACCTTTTGTGAGCACTTCTTCTGCTCTATTTGCTCACTTGTTTTGTTTTTGCGTTTTTGGGAACTATTAGGTACCGGATATCTTAGTGTCGTTTTTTCACCACGAGTTTCGGACCACCAATATTTTAATTCAGAATCCGGGGAGTGAAACAGCATATTCATCGAATGACTCATTAGCACTTTCCCATTTACCAGTATGAGTGGAAACCTCGTACGATTAAAGCTAGGAATTTTTTGAGTCGAAAAAGAGAGGTAGGTCGGTTTTGACATCATCTGACAAATCATCCCTCTCACTTGCTAAAAAGTTAGGCCTGGACAAAAGAAGTATACAGTTAGAGTAGGGTCTGCACTGTATGGTGGAAAAGTTAAAACTTACCAGCTCAACTGGACAATTTTTCCCGGAGTCTTTTTTGCCACATAGGGTCAAAAACGCACCCTTTTTGAGCACACGTGAGTAGCAGATGAGCACATTTATTAGAATTTCTTGTGCAATCAACTTCGTTAAAGCGTTTGTGCATCATCGATCAGTCACTGCTAAGGTGTCCTACCATTTCAGCACAAGACTGGTGCAGCCCCGTCTCGACTGATTTAACTAGGGCCACCTTTTTGACGACGATTGCGGGCATCACTTCAAAGACTTCACTGTCTTTTGAGAAAACTGTGAAAAACCGATGAGCATTTTAAATGGTAGTATTCCCTCCAACAAATGCAATGTTGGTTTGGTGGGCGGAAGTTGTAGCTCTCAGCAAGAATTTTGAAGCATTTGGTACACACATGCGAATTTGCACACTGGACCCAGGAATTTTCAAAAAAAGTATAAAAATTGGGGAAAAGTAAATTGTGAACCAACAATAGAAAACAATAAGCAACATATTTCGCAGTATTAATGAGCAAAAAGGACTTCTGAGATATTGATTTTCCATAGTAATCGGCCCCAAAACTTCCTGAACTCAGAAAATACACTAAGATATCCGGTACCTAATAGTTCGAATTTTAGGTGTTTAGGAATAAGGTGTTTATCCACGAAAGTGACCGCATTTCTTTGAAAAAATTATCCCTGAGAAGATGAGAAAATCAACCAGGCGTACATTCCTAACTTAGTCATGACTTGTTCTTTAAATTCTACTAGTTTTTCAATGTCTCGGCTAAAAAAATTTCGACCTAGATCTCAGGTAATGGTGCTCGACCGTCGAGTTCTGGTTGAAAAACCAGGTCTGGAAATGGAACGACGCGACTTGTTGGGAAACCTAATAGTGTAATGTTCAGAAGAGGTCATGTGTAAGTAGAGGGTACATCATTGATTGATTTCTCCCAAGGAATTTTTGTCGGCTGAACCTCCCTTTCGCAGGCCTAAAATTTGAAGACC